GTCACTGCTTGTGCTGGTTCATTGGCTGGGGAATCTCCTCCAGCAGAGGACAGCAGAGGTGGGAACTTGAAATCCTTTTGCTTGTATTTCTTGTCCTGGATGCTATGGACATGTTGCAACCTTCCCATTTTCTTTTGGTATCTCTTATGCTTTGTTGGTTTTATGCTTTCCAGGAAAGGTTTATGTTGGTGCAAAAAAGGAGATTGCAGAGAGCCGGATCCCTATCCTCAATATGTACATGAAGGTAAAGCTACAGTAGCTGTGGCCATATAGAGTCCATAGTTTGGCTAGTTACCATTTGAAATCATCTTGGATAGCTGTGTTCCTCCCAGCAGGGGGTCCTTGGTGCTCTCTATGGCACTCACAAACACCCAGACACCCCACGCACAACATAACACTGGGGAGAGAACTCCTTTGTGTGCAGGTTGATTATGGCCCCTGTATTAAATGAGTGACTGATTGGGACCCCAGCAGCTGAATGAGTGAGAGGCAGTGGGTGGGGAACCTTCCACGGCCTGGGTCTGCCCTCTCCCCACAGGGATCACTATGATTCTGGGGTGGGAGGATGGCAGGGAGAGGGAGAACATCCCTGGAGTAAATCAGACACACAGGCGACACATTGGCCAAGGCCAGCAATGAACGCTCTACCCTGTCTCATCTAGTGAGGGATTTCTGACACACGCCTCCGTGTGTCAGTAGTTTGGAGAGGTGTTTCCATTACCCCAGTAATACACACAGGGGCTCTCCCACACTGCTTGCTACTCTGTTCCCTTGTCTCCCCTGCTACAGAAGCTGCTCTGCCTGCCCAGCTGGGTGCTGATGGATGAAGACCTACGGCTGTTTTTCTACCAGTCAGAGTTTGACCTTGAGCAGGTGCCGCGGGGGCTGCGGCGGCTTCGCCCACGCACCCGACGAGTGTAAGCCTCAGATGCGTTTTCTCCTGCCTCAGCCTGGCTTGAGGGGAGGGCGTCAGACCCCTTGTGCCAAGCCCCTTGGGGACAGGGAATTGGGGATTCACAGTGTGTGTCCTAAATGAGTCAGGCAAGTCCTATTCCACTGCCTGTTTGTGCTATGAAAACTAGACTTTTCCCACTCCCCATAGCTAAAAACTCTGCAGTATCCAGAGCACATTCCATCTAGGCACGGGAAATGCTGGAAGGCCATTAGCACTGCTTGAAAATGGGGCCTTGCTCACTGCACTAGTGACTCTGTATGGCTGGTGTCATAGGGAGCTGGGTATGGAGGGGGCAGGTCAGGCCTCAGGCCTACTGAATTCAATGGGAGTTTTGCCATTGACCTCAACAGCAGCTGGATCAGATCTTAAATGAATATGGAGACTCAATTGGTTCCCATACCTCACCTGAGCAGGGGACTATCCTACAGAGCAGCACTATCCCACTGGATAACTGTGCTGGGAAGAACAAAGAAAGGAGAATGAAGCCCAGCAGAGAGAGAGAGAGAGTGTGGGGATGGCAGGATGCCTAGATTGAATTAACACAATCCTTAAGGCTGAAATTTTTCAAGGGAACTAACCAATGTTTCCTCTAATCTTTTCCATCCACGTGCAGAATAATTTTCTCTATATGCACTGAGGCATGTGTGGCTGTGCACCACCAATAGAAACACAAAACCTAGCTGTGGGCACTCTGCTAATCAGCTGGGAAGCATTGGAATTTCTCCTGAGTGGTCATGTAAGCGCACAGCTTAAAGGGAACACTGGAACTAACTAGCTCCCCCCAGACTCCCCAGGGCAAATCTGACTTCCCTGCTCAGCACAGCAGGAGGGAGGTGTTCCTCCAAGGTTCATTGTTTTAATTCCCCTCTGTGGTCAGCAGAGGGCTTTATCAGGGAGAGTTTGCTGCTGCGACACATGAGAACTAAGAACTCTGAGGTTAATGGCGTCATGTCTGTGTCTATTTGCTCGACTTGCATGTCATGCACAGATTCTCTGGCACTTTGTAAAGTGACTTGTGTCTTGGATCACCTCGACACCTGCCTCCTAGATGGTGAGGAAGCAAAGACTGTGCTGCTGAGCTGCTTTGTCTCTAGAGAGGGGTGTTTACTTTCTTGTCTCCTTCCTTTGCAGCAAAAGCATTTCACCCCAAGAGCGTGGTTTTGATCGCCTGGCTGCTCCACGGGCTGAGGTGGGTATTATGTGCAGCAGGGAGCAGGTTGTAAACAAGGGTGCATTTCCACTGAGGGATCTCTCTGATTACAGCTGTGGCTTTCTTAGGAGAGGTTCATTGTGGGAGGAGGGAAAATGGAATAAGCCAAAGTAAGAAATTCCTTTTACTCCAGAGCAAGAGAGGAGAAGGGCCTGAGAGACAAGTGGTGGGGCGAAGCAGAGGACTGAAACTATATATAGATGGACTCCCCTTCTCACCTGAATAACAGGGGCTTATTGGAGGATCAGTATGAGCTGAATCTCAGAACTGTCTGAACATAGGGAACTCACTGCCAGCATGTCTGCATTTGGAGGGGGACACCCACAGACTCACTTTCAGGCCCCGATTCAGCAAAGCACTTGAGCACATGCTTAGCTAGAAGTATGTATGTAAGTCCTATTGTGTGCGGTAAATTAAGTATGTGCTTAAGTGCTTTGTATCAGGGCTTGCAGCATTCTCACCCCCAGGACTGAACAAATGAAAAGAACCAACATGATGCTCCTGTTCTGACCCTGGAAGACCCGAGTTGGGAGACGGAAGCTCTTATGAGCGGAAAGGGGAGCGGGGAGAGAATGTGAAAGGGTGGGGGAAAGGAGGGAGTGAGATAAAACGTGGAAGGTAGAAATAGATAGAACAAGACTGAATCAGCCAACTGTTGGGTGTGTCAGCCAACAGATCTCAAGGAGAGTGTAGCGTGGGGAGAAAGAGGAGAACTTTCCAATAATCTGCAACATTTTTAAAGGGGGAACACTTACAGAGTGAATAGGCCCAGGGACAAATGGGGCATGGGGAAAGATAAGTTCTGCATCAGGGAAGCTAAATGGAAAATAAGAAATGCCAAGGAAAAGGATGGAGAAGAACACAGGAGAGGGCAAGGTTCTATTCCCAACCCAGCCCCTTGAATTGGATAAAATGTTTGTTTGACACAAGATTTTGAATCTGTCATTTGATGGCGGTTTGGATATTTCTGGCTGATTTAAAAATAAACTTTCCCGGCTTTAGGAATGAAGAGTTGACGCCCATAGCCGCAGGCTCCTTTGGGTCCTTGTAAAGCTGATTGCATTCCCTTCTGTTAATTACAGGAAGGAAGTGTATGTTGCGGGGAGGGGGACGGGACTCTCCAGGGCATGTGTCTGAAATCCTGCACTTTCCTATTTGAGTAAGCAGAATTGGCTCAGAGTCTTCCTGAGTGGAAGTGGTTATTTCCGTTATGTGAGACACTTGCACTCTGAAGCTGGTTTGGGAGCTCCTTTTTGTGAGATCCACTAAGCTCTGCTTTTGGGGCCTGTAACCGGGTCGGTCGTTCAGGAGTCCTGGGGCACCCCCAGTTCGTGAGCCCTGGCCGCAATGGGTCCTGAGCTGCCCCTGTTCCCGGCCTCTACCTCACCGCTCCCATGGTCCTCTCTCTGCTATCAGCTCCCACCGAGCTCGCTACTCTGCTGTCCACTCCGGTCGTCCCCTGGATCGCGGGGCCACCGGCCCCCAGCTAGCTGCCCAGCGACCGCTACCGGCCCGGGACCACGCCGTCCCGTCCTGCTCCTCCCTGGTCCGGCCGTCCGCCTTGAGTGCTGGGATTCTGGCTCTGGGTGCCGCACTGCCTCCTGCGGAGTCTCTGGCATGCCCTGCGGAGGAGGCTGAGAGCAGAAACTCCCCTCCTCTCCCCAGTCCTCCCCCCTTCCTGTTCCTCCCGCCGCCCTTTTGAATTCCCCGCTCGGCGTCCGGCCCACCCCTCCGTTGGCCGCCCTGCTGCCCTGGGGTCTTAGTGCCCACTGGCTATCACCTGGGCCGCCCTGCGCATGCGCGCCGGCTGTGCCGGTTTCCCCCGGCTCCTCTGCCTGTGCCGCCACGCCGCGCCTGACTCCTGGCACCAGCTGATCGGCCGCACGGGGTGCGGGGCCTCAGCTCCTGGGGCCGAGAGTGCGGGGGTGAGTCCCCCCGTCACAGGGCCTAAGATTGGAATATATGGGTATATTCCTGTCTTTTGTTTGGGTATCCTTTTGTTTCTCTAAGATACAGGAAAGGCTACAGACAAGGGGAAACGCCATGGAAAGTGTCCCCCAGACTGTGTTCTGCAACATAGAGCTTCCATCCAGACTTTGCCCTTAAACGGCCTTGCTCTGCGGATGCACACTTGCATTCTGGGGCACTAACAGGTTGGAATTGTCTCAAATGCAGAAATTGGTAGGCCACAGTTTTCTCTCTGGCAAATCTGAATGTTCAATGCAAGGCAATTAGAAACTATGGGTTCAGTTGCTTTGAGATCCCTTGAAGACAGCTGTTCTTGCATCAGTCATTCTCCACTGCATCTATACCCTTTTTCTGATAATAGTTACTGTAGGTTTATCAAAGCTTATTAAAAGAGCTATTTATATCCATTTCTGGGTAGGGTTGCCAGGTGTCCGGTATTGACCCAGACAGTCCAGTATTTTCGCCTCCTATCCAGTAAAAAAATTCAGAAAATACCAGACACCTAAAATGTCTGGTATTTTCTGATTTTTTTCCCGGCCAGGAGGCGAAAATCCCGGGTGCTTACTGGGTTCCGCAGAGGAGCTGTCCAACCCAGAGCAGGGAGACAAGATGGTGGATGGCAGCCTATTAGGGCCAAAAAGACTCAAAAGAATTTCTTAAAGGGGCCATGCTGTTTTTTACAATTTAAAATTTTTTTTTTGATTAATAACTCTTAGGGTAGGGCCATGCTGTTTTTTACAATTTAAAAAATTTTTTTTGCTTAACAACTCTTAGGGTACTTTCTTTGCTCAACAACTTTGGTCTCCCCCCTTTTTTTTCTCAATAGATTTTTTTTCCCGGTGGTTTTTTTTGTGGGGGGGAGGGAGTGGAGAAGGTGTTTGGTATTTTTGGTTAAACCATCTGGCAACCCTATCCCTGGCGAGAGGGGATCTGGTATCTATCCTCCATCTTCTGAGCTTTCAGTCTTTATTTGCTATTCTAAATATCTGAAAGGAGCAGAGGGTTCTGGGTTTGGGGTTCAATTTCCTATTTGGCTTCGCACAAACATTTGAAATCTGTGACTGGAAGTACACGATGCTCCAACTCTTACTGCTTTCCTGATTGCTTGGCTATCCCTGGCGAGAGGGGATCTGGTATCTATCCTCCATCTTCTGAGCTTTCAGTCTTTATTTGCTATTCTAAATATCTGAAAGGAGCAGAGGGTTCTGGGTTTGGGGTTCAATTTCCTATTTGGCTTCGCACAAACATTTGAAATCTGTGACTGGAAGTACACGATGCTCCAACTCTTACTGCTTTCCTGATTGCTTGGGCTCTTACGCAATGTACTTCAAGAATGTGAGCACCGGAAGTAGCCAGTCCCCATGGGTTAGCAGGACAGGAAAGCAGGATCCTAGAATTCTGAATTCATCATTTGAATGGTGATTACTTTCCCCAGGCATTGTTTGACTTTCTTGGAACCAGTACCCTGGAGCTGAACTTCAAGAAGGGAGACTTGATCTATCTACTCAGCAGGATCAATAAAGACTGGCTAGAGGTAAGACTGAAGTTATTAGGGTCATGCCAGTTTCTGAGCAGGCAGGTACATCCAGCATTAGTCTTTTAGGGTATGTCTACACTGCCACCCTAGTTCGAACTAGGGTGGTTAATGTAGGCATTCGAATTTGCAAAATGAAGCCCGGGATATTTAAATCCCAGGCTTCATTTGCAACTTCGAATGCCTACATTAGCCACCCTAGTTCGAACTAGGGTGGCTAATGTAGGCATTCGAAGTTGCAAATGAAGCCTGGGATTTAACTATCCCGGGCTTCATTTGCATCTTGCCGGGCGCCGCCATTTTTAAATCCCCATTAGTGCAGACTCCGTGCCTGCGGCTACACACGGCACGAAGTAGGTAGGTCGAATTAGGCTTTCTAATTCGAACTACCGTTACTCCTCGTGGAACTACCTACTCCGTGCCACGTGTAGCCGCGGGCATGGAGTCCACACTAACGGGGATTTAAAAATGGCAGCGCCCGGCAAGATGCAAATGAAGCCCGGGATAGTTAAATCCCAGGCTTCATTTGCAACTTCGAATGCCTACATTAGCCACCCTAGTTCGAACTAGGGTGGCAGTGTAGACATACCCTTAGAGACTAAGGCCCAGATCCTCAAAGTTATTTCATCTCCTGACTTCCAGTGATTTCAATGGAACTTAGAAGTCTAAATCAATGCCCTCTCTATTTTTTTCCATCCATGTGTGGAATAAATTTTATGTGCACCAAGGCATGTGCAGATGTGCGTCACCAATAGAAACACATCCTGCCAGCTGTGGGAGGCTGTGGGCACTCAGCTAATCATCTGGGCAGCATCTGAATCTCTCCTGACTGGCTGCTAAGCACTCAGCTTACAGGGACCTCTGGTCTGAATACTTTTGAGGAACTGGGCCCAAGCATCTATTCCAGAGTCCTTCCTTTCTGGATTCTGCTTGGATATCTGGTCTCTTCTCCTCTGACATTTGGGCTTTTCACATGTACGCTCCTTATCTATAATGAACTCTGGAATATGTAGATGTGAATAGAACACTTGCAGGCCATAGAAATGAGAAGGAAACCACTGTTCAGATGCAATGTCTTGTGTTTGCATGACTTGTGACACACTGTACTCCATCCCTGCCTGCCCTGCCTTATTTTGGGGGAACTTGGGCACTATGATGAAATTATGAGAATGGGTTGCAGGATCATGTGGGATATCAGCTGCTGTGGTATCACTGCTTTCTAAAAGAGGAGAGCCTTCATGGGGAAGTATCTGATGTTTATATATCGTACAGTACTCCAGTCCTCCTGTAGCCAGCCACCCAATCCAATATTCCTGTTACAGGTATGACATCAACTCATGCCCATGACACACATCTCCTTATCTTGATATAGTACACTTGGATTTTCAGAAAGTCTTTGACAAGGTCCCACATGTAAACAGTCAGGATAATGAGGGACAGTCCTCTCATGGATCAGTAGCGAGTTAAATGGTAGGAAACAAAGGATAGGAATAAATGATCAATTTTCACAATAGAGAGAGGTCAATAGCGAGATCCCCCCAAGGAGCTGTACTGGGACCAGATCAGATCAGCATATTCATAAATGATTTGGAAAAGGGGGCAAACAGTGAGGTGACAAGTTTGAAAATGATACAAAATTATTCAAGAGATTGAAGTGCAAAGCTGATTGTGAATCTCACAAAACGGGGTGATTAGGTGACAAGTTAGCAGATGAAATTCAGTGTTGATAAATGCAAAGTAATGCACACTCTGGAAAACATATCTCCAACTATTCATAGAAACAGAAGGTCTAAATTAGCTGTTACCATTCAAGAAAGAGCTTTTGGATATCCTCATGGATAGTTCTCTGAAACCATCTGCTCAATGCAGCAGCAGTCAAAAAAGAGAACAGAATGTTAGGAACCATTAAGGAAGGGATAGATAATAAGACAGAAAACATCATAATGACATTATGCAAATCCATAGCATGCCCACCCCTGGAATCCTGCTTGCCATTCTGGTCACCCCATCTCAAAAAAGAAATATTAGATCTGAAAAAGCTTCAGAGAAGGGCAACAAAAATGAGGCAAGATTAGACTGAAGAGACAACTAAGGGATGATATGGTCTATACAATCATGAAACACGTGGAGAAAGTGCATAGGGAAGTGTTAATTACCTATTCACAGAACATAAGAACTGGGGGTCGGGGTGGTCAACCAATTACATTAATAGACAGCAGATTTAAAGGAGGGAAAAAAGGAAGTACGGACTTTGGCAGGGGGAGGAGGAAGTGGCTCTGCATGCTGTTGCTCCCCCTTCCCCATAGCTGGGGGAACAGCAATGCAGGGATGTGCTGCTATGGAAGCTTTTCCCTGCTGCTCCCATAGCAGGGGGAAGGGGGCAATGCCTTGGAACCCCACGGGTGCAGAGCCGTGTGTCCCCAAAAGCAAGACACGAAGTAAGTGCTCATCTCCATTCCCCTCATGCACTTTCTCACCCTGCATCATCCAAAAAATTCCATAGTCTGTCATGCCCTGTTTCCCAGGCTTGCCGGATTACAGAGGTTCAAATGTATTTCCCACAACGCACAGTTAATCTGTGGAACTCACTTCTAGGGCATGTGATGAAAAAAGTACAACTGGCTTCAGAAAAGAATTAGATAATTTCATGGAGGATGGGGTCATCAGCCAAGATGGCCAGGGGTGCAACCCCATGCTCTCAGTGTCCATAAATTTCTGACTGCCATAATTTGACAGTGGATGACAGAGGATGGCTTTCATCTCAATAATTGCCTTGTTCTCATCATTCCCTCTGAAACTGTCCCTGGGCACTGCTAGAGACAGGAGACTGGACCATATGGGCCATTCATCTGACCCATCATGGCCATTCTCACATGACCACATCTGGGGACTTCTGGTGCTCATCTTCATGGAAGTGACTTATATTGCCACAGAAGATCACATGTAACAAAAACAGTTCCCCTTTTATCATTGCCTTCCTTCCTCTTGTCCCAGGGAACTGTCCACGATGCCACTGGAATCTTCCCGGGTGCTTTTGTGTCGATCATTAAAGACTTACCACAGGAGGAGAGCACTCTCAATTGTCTGCGCTGCTATTTCCATGATGACACTGTCAGCATCATCAGGTAATGAGATGATGCTTTCGGGTGACGACTGGAAAGATGGTTTGACTCCTGCAGCCCAATCAGGGATCGTCTCTGTGCATGTCACGTGATGCTGTCTTTTCTCTCTTTTAGGGATATAACAGTGGAAGAGGACCTGAACAGCACCCCTTTGCTCATGGACCTCCTGGGATTAATGAGGTACAGCACAGACAGATGGAGGTATAGGCACTGTTGCAGGCCTGGGCAAAATATAACCCGTGAGCCAGATGTGGCCCGCTAAGCCACTGGATCCAGTCCACAGATACAACGGAGAACCCTAGCAGGCTTCCCTACTTGCCCCGCAGCCCTGCACACCGCTTACAAAAGTGGCTGTGGCACTGCTTCTTTTTAAAAACGGTGACCCCAAAGGGGAGGAGGGAAGGCTTAAGGCATAACTCCCACCCCCAGCACAATCCCATTGGCCAGCTTCTGGCCAGCAATTGGCCAATGGGAGCTGCCTGTTTGAATAACAGGAAGCACAGAAAGCACCACACCTCCCTCCCCTCCACCTTAGTTATTCAGAAAAGCACATGGCCCTGCAGTCTGTTCAGGCATGGGGCAGGCAGGCTGGCTGAGACACTTTTTAAGTTCTGCAAGCATTTAGCTCAGCAGCTAGGCAGGCTGGCTGGACTGCTGGCTAGTAAGTCTCCTGGCCAGAGCCTGTCTCTGGCACCCCAGCCCCTCCCTTCCCCAACTCTCTGCACCTACTCAACATACCCAACCCCCCTGCCCACTTCCTGCACCCATATCCCCTGCCAGATCTGGCACCCAAATCCCCTGCCCCAGATCACAATCCCCTCCCTAGGCCACAACCCAAACTCCTGCACCTCTGTCCCCTCCCCTAGGTCCCAACTGCCTCCTTCACTCAAACTCCCTCTCAGACCCCACTCTCCCTCCTGCACCCCAGTCCCTTACCCCAAGCTCTCTTCTGCACCCAATCTCCATCCCAGACCCTGCATCTTCTCCATTAATATCATGGACGAGTGCGGCCCTCGACCACTTTTCAAAATCTTGGAGTGGCTCCCCATATTGCCCACCCCTGCACTACTGGATGTAGCGATTCACTCCCAGGCGTATTTCCTGAGTTTGTCCCACTCCTGGCTGTGTCAGGGTCTGTCCAGCCATCCCACTATTCTAGCCTGACATACACTTCCCTGTGACCCTGGGAGTTGGCAGTTGTCATAACCTGGCCCTGTAGCACTTTATATGGTCCCCAGTCTGTTGTGAATGGACCCAGTGTCTGGGTCCCACTCCCATGTGCTTCCAAGCCAGCTGGGCCTGGGCAGAGTCTAGTCATTGCTTCTAGCTCTGAGACTCTAGGACTCACTGGCAGGCTCATTCCTGCACAGATCACCATCCTGCTCTCAGACAGACCTCTGTCTCCCTCCCATGTGCTCCACTGGGAAGTTCCAGCTCCTCTCAGTTACTCTTGTCCCACCCCCACGTAGGCCCTTGTGTAGAATTCCCACTGTTCCATTGGCTAGGCCAGAAGTTGAGAGGTTATCAGCATGGGTACCTTCATATCAGTATAATGTTAATACACCGCATAGTATGGGGACAGCAGATACAGAAATTCTTGTTAATGATCTGACACCTCTCATTCACTGGCTGGGGCAGGGTTATATAACTTCACAAAGCTGGGTCTGCTCTCATTCTAGGGCTGCTGTCTCTAGTACATCCACGTTCAGCATCTTCCTTGCATTGTTCGGACCCCACCTTCATATCAGTATAATGTTAATACACCGCATAGTATGGGGACAGCAGATACAGAAATTCTTGTTAATGATCTGACACCTCTCATTCACTGGCTGGGGCAGGGTTATATAACTTCACAAAGCTGGGTCTGCTCTCATTCTAGGGCTGCTGTCTCTAGTACATCCACGTTCAGCATCTTCCTTGCATTGTTCGGACCCCAGGGTTTAATCCATTTTTCCTCTCCTAGGAGAGAGTTTAACCGTGATGACATTGTTCTGAATTACCGGGACTCTGAGGGTGACCTGATCCGTCTGCTCTCTGACCAGGATGTCAAACTCATGGTGTCTCAGGGCAGGAGATGGTCCTCCGAGAAACATTTCTTCCCCTGGAAGTTGCACATCACCCACCAAGATGACTTCAGTGTCTACAACATCAGCCCAGGAGGTGGCATGAGTCGTCCTCTAGCAACGAAAGCACGGTGACAGCCCCAGGCAGCTGTATCAGCAAGGGACTGCACCCCTCCAGCCACTCTACTGACTGCTTCTTTTTGCTAGGCTTGAGACAAGCAACAATCACAGCCCGGTGTGAGACAAGGGTGCCCCCGGACATGGAACAACCCGACCAAGTGGACTTACTGCCCTGTGGGAGCAGAAATGCTGAGGTGTCAGCCCAAAGTTCCAGGCACCTCACAAACTCAATGGACATTGTGAGTAAAAGCAGATAGTGAGCTGGCGATAAGCAGCTGTACCTGTGTGTTAGTGCTGGGTTTGAAGTGTTGTTTTGATTGGAAAGAGAAGATGTGCTATTCTGTACTGTGCCTTTAAGGGGTAAGCTCCCCGGTGTGAGATCTGGGTGGACGGAGTAAAGCAGAAGCTCCAGTTGTTGGCATGGGGCCGACTGGCACTGGTCCTGGAATAAAGCAGAGCTCAGTCTAGCACCTTCTGCACTGGGCAATCACTGAACACCACAAAAGGGAGCAGGAAGGCTGCTCGGGGACCCCGAATGGCTCCTGGGATTCCCCAGGCTGCTCCAAGGAGGATCATTTCTGGAGCTCTTAGAACAAGCTGTTCCTGCCTGTCTACACCCAGTATCCTATAGCAACAGCTTTTAGGGGGCAGGAAGGTTCTCAGCTTTTGCATGGTGCTCTCGTGTCAGGTGCACTCCACAAAATGTAGATCCAAATGGGAATGAATCCGTCAGGAGGGAGGAGAAGAACCATGGTGGGTAAGAGGGTGTCACACCCTGGATGGGAGGGAGGAGAAATGGTAGTTTGGGATCTGCTCAGAGCTGGCCTGTCTGACGGCTCCTCAGAGTACCCAAGGGCTCTAGTGCTTGCGCCTTCCTGCTGGTCCCACATGATGCAACAATTTGCTGCAAAGCATCTGCAAGGGAAGAGGGGCCTGCTTTTCCCCCAGCTGTCCCACCCACACCTACCAGGCTTGGAACTGCTCATTCATTTGCCTACAAATGTGAACTGATTCTGGGTACGACTGAGGGCTGTTTCCCCATTCTCCCCCCATGGGATTAGGTCAGAGGGAACTGAGTGCAGAGGAATTCCAGGGCTGGCACTCTGAAGAGGTTACAATGTAACTAGTAGTGACTATGGGATTGTCTCCCACCTTCTATAATTAACCAAGGCAGGTTGGGGTGTTCCAGGGCACAGGGTGTGCAGGAGAAATAACTGCTCACTGACTGAAACGAGAGGCCAAAATGCAGGCCACAGCGCTCTCCTGTTGGGCTTCTTTCTGCTTCAGTAAGGAGTAGCACAGGCCTCAGCATGCAGTGGCCCATCTCCATTCAGGTAGAAAGACACCCTATGTGTACATACAGCGCCTAGGCCAATGCGGCTCCCCTGAGGTGCTACCACAATATAAATAAGGACAAAATGAACAGAGCAGAGGTGAAAGGCAGCTGGTGGGGGCAGGGGGGGGGGGAAGGTGTACTCCCCAACATTATTGCTCTGGGTCTTGGGGTTGCAAAGAACGGGAGGTTTGGGTCCACTGGCCTGGCCCTGGTTTGTTGCTGTGCCAAGATGACAGGGGTCCGTGCTCCTGAAGAGCTTTGTTTGCTTCACTAATTAGGCCTCCTGCAAAACACAAGGACCCCAGTGGAAAGACTCAGATCATGTCAATGGGCACTGGGATCAGCCTCATATAGATTATTTGGGATACAGAAAACAGGGCGTCTGGGGATGTGCAATGAGTTGATGCACATCCAGGCACCTGGGTGCATGGGCTGAGCTAATTCATGGAGTTATATGGTCCCATTCTAATGCCTATATAGACACATAACAAAACCACAGCCCACAATGGCACACACAGGGTCGTGTCTCTTCGCAAAAGGTCTGGGCCTGGATTAGCAAGTCAGGAATGAGTTGGGCTGAGAACGCTTGGATGGCATTTACTTCCTCTCTGGTCAGTCTGAGGCAGTGCGCTGGGCCATTTGCTTTCAAGAGCAATTAATTCACTTTTCTCCCATGGCCTGTCATCTTTGCTCCCAGGTATATATATATACATGTACATTTTAGCTGCATTAAGGAGCATATAGTTTGCTTGTGCCAAGCTTAACAAGTGATCCACATGGCTCAGAATTAGAGACAGAAGAGACCAATTATATTATGGCTTGTCTATCTTAAGTGCCTCTTCCCCCTGGTTTTTCCTGCAGTAATGTTCTCCAGGCTTTTCTCCAATCTAGGTTTATGTGTCCTGGTGATGGGTCCTTCTTCACCATTTTTCTAAGCACATTATTCTGCAGAGCGTTTTCCTGCTGTTCATTGGGGGAGGGGGGAGGTGAGAATTTTGTTGGCAAAAGTACCAACAAAAAGCATTCACACGTGCCAGTTTTTAGTGACCTGGCCATGTCAACAGGCTTGTTGCTAAAAGCTGTATAATGTAGACCCATCTTCAGTGACAGCGTGGAGCATCCACAGGAAGGCCAAGCCTTTTTCCAGTCCCTTGCCCATATCCACAGGAAGGCCAAGCCTTTTTCCAGTCCCTTCCCCATACTGATGGGCCATCAGCCCGGTCTGGTTTTTCCATTATAACACGTGAAGTGCTAGCAGTGAGTATTACCCAACAAAGCATAGCTGAAATACAGATACTTTAGTCAATATTCCTAACTTTAGGTACACAAATGATACATGCCTACAAGGAGGATGGTCATTGTAAACGTGCCCCCCATCACCCTCGGGGGTCTGTCTGTTATCCCCCCTTCGGTTACCCTTGTCCCATGATCCCAACACCCCCAAGATCACCTCCCGGCGTCCAAGTTAATTGTACTGTCCCTCCCCCGGGTCTCCGCCGAGATGCCGGAGGCTTCGCCACTCGCGATGGGGAGAGGGGGGTCCGGGCCCGCCCCCTATCACGGACCCCAGCCCAGAGCCCTAAGGACTCGTACGTGATTCTTGTCCAGTCTGACTGGCGAGGCTGTGGCCGAAACACGCCAGTCCACAGGCTCCCTTCACCCTCTCTGGGCTGCTTCCTCTCCCCACGCAGGTCTGGCCCGCCGAGTTGGGGCTTACCTTCTCGGCTTGGGGCCCATCCGTCAGCTTCCACAGGGGGAGGAAGCTCTTGGTACTTCTTCCTCGTCTCGCTCCCGATGAGCATTTAAATTCCCGCGCCGCGTCCTGCCAGCATGGCCCTGCCCGGCGTGGCAGGGGCGCGTTTC